GTCACTGAAGATATTCTGACATCGTGGAAAGACACAAACATATCTGGTCTATGTTACTGGCATAGCTTGCTCATGACAGGCCCAAGAGTCATGTTTTAGTAAAAACTGCTTTTAAGCCCCTGTCTGCCCCAGAAGAAAACACACATCATGTTTTTAATGAGTAACAGGGCAAGGCCCAGGAGTTTGTCTCTTGTTCCCCTTATGGTTTCTGCCTACATCAATATTAGATGTCTAAAGTATATAAGTCTGCCTGGCTCACAGGTGTTTGAGAACTGAGTGCTGGGACAAATTAGGGTTCACTTCCATGCGGTAACAAGATTTCAAAGTCAGAGCCTAACCACTGCCAGGAATGAGGACTTCAGCTGCCTCCTGAAGCAACTCACTTCATTTTCGAATAATCTTGATTATTAGGAGGTCCTATGTGGTGTTCTCCAGGGGTTGATTGATATCTTAGGATTGGTTCTGCAGAGTTATTTTTAATTGGGTCCTGCAGAGCCATCATAGCTTTGGGGAGGCAGCCTCAGTACCCTGTCATGGAGTGCTTCTTCCTGCTTGGGGGGTGATCTCCCTACAGGATGGTCTGCAAGGCTCTGCTTTTCTTGGAATCTAGGTGGCTGCAGGTGTAGAACAAGGACCCCAGACTCCCACGTGTTACTCCAAAGCGTTTGGAACTGCATGCTATAAAAGTTGGCGATTTGGTGTCCCCTATGAACCCTGAAAATCACTTTAGTTTCTCTTTATCTTGGGGGCCTCAGTTTTGAAGGGGGATGGGATAGGCTAGGTAAATTTATGGCTAATAACCCTTATAATACAGACACTTTGTCTTCATGCAGAGCCCAACACACACAGCTTTAAGGTAATAAACGGAGACATAAAATGAAGGCAGAGATGCCAAGCTTTGTTGTGCTTTCGTTACCCTCTGGGCAACTCCAGGCCCAGTTTCTAGGTATCTATTATAGGATTCAAACCTTACTTTGATTTATAATTAGTTTTGCAGAGTAAAATTTCACTAAGTTGAGCCTTGTGGAGTTTGGGTTCAGAGAGAGTGGAGACACTGGACCCCTACTAAGGAAATAGTTTCTCCATCACTGAATTTCCGAGGGCCAAGGGCAATCCAGCCTTGAATCATCAGCCCCTCCAACAGAAGGCTCCACAAATGATTCTGTAGCTATGGTTCTTTTGGGTCCAGAGATGAAATCAAATGGGTAAAGACAGTGCTTTTATGACACTGAATTGTATAAAGCATGCCTCTTACAACTTTAACAACAGCGTGACTTCACCATATACAATTCCGAGATGAAGGAGTGAATGGCCAAGCCAGATTCATAGAACTTGGGTGAAGTTCTGGCATTCCAGAAATGTCTGCATACCCTCTAGCACTGGAGAGGGAAATAGATCTTTAAAAACTGGGATTTTGATAGCGATAAATTGCTTCTCCAGCTGCCTCATGCTGAGAGTGTAAAACCAGCACTTCCCGGCCCTATGGCCAAGGAGGATCCAGGTGTACACATGATCATGTCCTGATTTCTGTTCTATCCTCCTGTACAGGGGAGAGCTTTTGGGTGTTGAGGGAGCGGGCTAGTTTCCCACTGTCCCTCATTTGGCCAGCTTGTAATTCTGGTACTCTTAGTTTCAGGTAGGTCAAGGAATCTGAGAGTCAGCCCGGTCCAAGCCTGACCTGCCATCCTCTCAACTTCCCCTCCTTCAGCCTCCCTCTCTCCTGTGGGCACCAGGCCTGGGAGTTGCTGTCCTTGACCTCCCGCAGTTCTATCCTAACCTGCTCTGGACATCCACAAAGCAACGTTCAATGCTATTTTCGTCTTCTAGAATTTGGCTTTTGAGTAGTAACCCTGGCCTTTGCCCAGGGTTTGTAATTCCACTTATTGTGTTGGCTTTGACAGCACCCAAGAGTGAGTGTGTGGCCAGGAGGAAACCCTCTGCTATCTTTGTCTGGGCAAGAGGGTCCATGCTGCACCCGAAAGTGTTTTGAGTGGAGTTCCAGGTTCTATTTACAGTATTTCAATCGCTCCTCAGCCTATTGGCTAAGATCAAGTGTATTTACAGTATTTCGAATGGGTTTTTTGTGGACCCTGACTCTGTTTTGTAATTTGTTTCATGGGTTTTTGACTCTTATCAGTATTTGTGCTTGCACTGTGCTTATTTTGACAGTACCCTGGACCCATATTCATTGTGTGCTTCTGCAGGTCCCCAATCTTTACTAGCCGCAGCCCTACCTCTTTGACCTTGATTGAAAAGGTGCATACTCCTACAAGGTATCTTAAATATTTGCATAACGAGGGAATTCCTAAATTTAGCCGCACTGTGTGTAGGTGTCCTGTAGTTTTATTAGAGTGAGCTTCTTGGGTTCAGAGGGGAAAGAAGTGCAAGGGATCTGTGGAGAGCTTTGGGGTTACTGACACTGACTCCCAGGTGGCAGCTACACTTACATTTGGTCAGAGCCATCTGCTCCAGTTCCTAGGGACCATCCTGTCCCAATCTCTGGGCCACGTCATGACTGACTGGCCTCCCCCAAAGACTGTCAGAGCCCTTTCTCATTTTCAAAGTTTTGCAGATAGTCACTTTTGGAAACCCAAAACTACACTTAATTTTTAAAGAGCAGAAGAGTTACAATGCTTGGGAAGTTTTTACAGAAGCCTGCAGTTCTGGATCCTTTTAAAATGACAAATTTGGTGTGAAAATATAAGGAATATAGAAGAGTATAAAGTAAAACCTTTCTCTGTAGAAGGTAATTTGCTGGAAGGAGGGGAAGCACATTGAATTCTGATAGATACTAACAAATGGCCTTCCAAGTTTGCGCCCAGCCAGGCCCACGGCTGCCAACAGTGCAGTTTGCACAGCCTTGTCTTTGTGTTTTCTATGCACATGAGTGGGAAATGTCATCTCATGCTGATCTGCATTTCCCCTTTGGGGTAGGGTTGTCATCTTTCTGCGTTATAGTGCTTGGATCCCTTCCAAGACAGACGAGAAGTGACAGTCCTTTTGTCCTTCTGAATGTCTAGGACTTTTGACTTGTTGACTCTAGCTCACTCATCCCATCATGAAAATGTCTCAGGGCCACGAGAGCCCTTCCCCTGGGGAAAGCTGGACTCGGCCAGGTTGCAGTTGAGGCAAAAGACAGCCTGTTCCAGCTGGAAAAGTGGCAGCGACCCTGTCAGTTTCTCCTGTGTGGGACAGCAAGGTCCAGAAAATGCCCTGAGGGGAACAGTTTGCAGCTTTGTCCACGGATAGGAAGCCAAGGAGCAGGCCATGGGCCAGACCAGCCACTGCCCCAAGCCGGTCCTCCAGGCCTTGCACCTCCTCTTCCCCGGCCCCTGGCTGGACACCCTCTGCCCTTCCGGTTCCCTGGTTAGACACCGGCGGCCCTTGAGTGTCCTCGGTCACCAGTGCCCTGGCAGACACCATCGGGCCTGTCTATCCTCACTTTCCTGTCCGGAGGGGCGACCCTCTGTTTTCCTCCTTTGTGAGGCCACTCCCACTGACTGATCCACCCAGGCCCAGGGATTGCCTCAGAGCAGCGAGTGGTCACTGTCCTGCGCGTCCTTCTCGGGGTCCTTTCTCGGGGGCTCGCTCTCCACCTGCTGCACCTGTCTGCCAGCGTGCAGGGATGCCACGTCCCTAATCATCAGGCCTTCCAGGCCAGCGCCCAGACCCTCGGGGGACGGACCCGCCCCGCCCTCCAGCCCCGCCCTGCCTCAGCTCCTCCCTCCTCCCCGCCCCTCCGCGATTGGACTGGGTCCCCTGCCCCTGAGAGCCGCGAGTAGGCATGCGCACTGGGGCTCCTGCGCTCCTGGCGTTGTGACGTGCAGACGAGGCACGCCCACCGGCGAGGTTGTGCAGGGACAGGGTTGGTCGGGGGACTCGTTGGGCTTGAGGCGACTTGGGGGTTCAGGAGGCCTAGGGTTGAGGGTGGCCCTGGTCTTGAAGCGTTGGAGGAACGCGAGGTTGAGGACGGCCTCGAGGTTGGCGGTCCTGGGACTGAGAGGGTCCCAAGATGTCCCAGGAAGGGTCGAGGGGGCCGAGGTTTAGGGGGGCCTGGAGTTGAGCGGTCCCTGGGTTGGGGTGGATGCGGTTGAGGTGTCTGGGGGTTGATCGGGTCGGGAAGGGAGAGGTTCAAGCGGCCTGGGTTGTGAGGGGTCTTGGGGTGCTAGGACCACCGAAGTCGCAAGGTTGCGGGGCCGGGATTCAGGGTGTCTCAGGGGCTCAGAGTCCCAGAGCCGAAAAGGTCCCTGGGCTTCCCTGGATGTCGGAGTCCCGGCGTTGAGGGATTCCTGGAGTTCGGAGCGTCACGGCCTCGGGGGCTCGGGGTCCCAGGTTTGAGGTGGGCTGGTGTTGAGGCGACCTGATGTTGAGGGGGTCTGGAGGTGTGGGGCTCCTTTGGGTTGTCCCGGTACCCGGGAGCTTGTCCGGGCACTGGGCTCAGTGGGGGCTGGGGGGAGCGGTGCACCCGAGGGGGACCCGGGAGCGGGATGGGCGCGCTGGGGCCCGGGAGGCGGGGGCGGGGCCGGGCCGCGTCCGGTCCGGAGGTGTGGACGGCCCGCCCCGCCCGCCCCGCCCGCCCCGGTTCAAGTACAGCAGCAGCCGGAGCCCACGGCCGCGTCCCGCAGTCGGAGGGCGCGCACGGAGCATGTGGAGGCTGGGCCGGGGCCGGGTGCTTCTGGACGAGCCCCCCGAAGAGGAGGACGGGCCGCAGGGGGCGGCGCCAGCTGGGACCGCGGGCGCCTCGGCTCCGGTGAGGGCGCAGGTGGGGTGCGGGCGGCGGGTGAGGGTGCGGGGCGGCGCCTAGGACCCGAGAGCACGGAGTCGCAGGAGTCGACCCAGCTCGCAGCCGCTTGGGCTTCCTCGTGTACCTACCCCGCCGTGACCGGCGGCCGGGTCCGGGCTCTGCGGCGCCCTTCCCTCTGCTTCCCTGGGCGGACCGGGTCGGCGCAGAAGCCCTGAATCATGCTGCTCCAGGCCCTTCCAGACGCCGGGCCTCGGGCACCCGCAGCACAATGTGCCCTGGGCTCGATGTTTGTTTGCACAACACGTATTTCCTTTCCTAAACCTTTGATTTTCTGGAGGGCCAGAGTCCTTTTGCCCGAAAATCGAAAGGCATTGGCTGACAAGTGCAGAGATATGTTTGGAATGTCTAGAATTTTTTAATTAAATGGGATCCCAGGTGGATCCTGCAGGCGCACACAGCCCTCCCCCGACCGCCTCCAGTGCACTCTTCCCTTTCTGTGTGGTGGAATTTAGGTCAGAAACGTAGCACTTTGTTGTCGTTTTACATGAGGGTCGTGAAATCTCTTTTTGGGTTACGTTTTGGGAGTGCTCTTTTGGAAGCCGACGAGGAGCTGCGCCTTTCTCCTGAGGACTTGGAAGAAGTTTCTGAGGCGGCTCCTTCTGTAGGAACCGAGCTTGTTTCATCTTACCGTCCTTTAGGTCACAGCCCTCTATTGGTCCATGTTGGTTACGCAGGTGAATGGATTTCATTTCGCCAGATTCGTACATGCACGTGACAGTCTCTAATCAGCATCATCCACTTGTCTCATCCCATAGTTTCACACTGAGTGTGTATAATATACTTTTTTTTTGGTACCGGGGATCGAACTTGGGACCTTGTGCTTGCGAGGCAGGTGGCGGAACCACTAGGCTAAATCCCCAGCCCCGAGTGTGTATAATGTCGTTTAATCATATTCACCCCTTTACTGCCTGCTTGAGCTTCTTACAGGAGTTCAGTGCTATTCCCAACTCACAAAAATTGGAGTTGAATGGGCTGGGGATTTAGCTCAGTGGTTCCAGCGCCTGCCTCTGAAAGCACAAGGTCCTGAGTTTGATCCCCGGTACCAAAAAAAAAAGTTACATAGACAAAAATTGGAGTCGATCATCTTAAGCATTTAAATATGGTTACTGTCTGAATCATCTTTGAGAAAGTTTTTTTTTTTTTTTTGCCTGGTACTGGGGATTGAACTCGGGGTCTTGTGCATGCTAGGAAGTTCTCTACTACAAAGCTACACCCCCACCCATTTTATTGTTTTATTTTGAGACAGGGTCTCACTAAGTGGCCCCGGCTGGCCTCCGACTTGCCATCCTCCTGCCTCAGCCTCCCATATCCTGGGATTATACCACCACACCCAGAGAGAAATTACTTTTTGATAATATTAGTGCTATATACCTTTTATTTTTTAATTCTCAAAATTTTGTAGTTACTCTAAACTGAGCAGGAAAGAAGGGACAAGAACTCAACAGTGGAAGCAGGTTTACTGCTAAACTCCAGAGGGACCCCTCAGTGCGAGCAGAACACAGGTGTCTCTTAGAGGCTGAGGGATTTTTTTAACAGCCTTCTTTGATGGACTTTTGAGGGGGTGGGTTGGAGAAACGGGCTTGTGACTTGCTGATGTGTCCTCTGTGAGAAGCTGACATGTCCTTTTTGACCTGTTCACGTGTCCTTTATGACCTGCTGACGTGTCCTCTGGGGATTGCAGACATGTACCCTGTGACCTTCTCATGTGTCCCCTGTGACCTGCTGATGTGTCCTCTGGGGACTGCTCATGGCCTAAGTAAAATGAATCCTACATTTCTCTAAGATGGCAGGTGGGCATATTCAAACTGGCGGTATCCCTGTCTGTGCTCTCATGAACAGCAACTGTTACCTTTAAGGATTGGCATTTATATGTGGTTACAGAGTTAACTTAAGAAGCTTGGTTAGAGATGAGCAATGTTGTTTCCAAATTAACTCTTTCAAATGAAGCCCTCCTACGTTCTGCTTTCATTTCTCTGAATGAATCATAAGATCTCCCTTTCTCTCCCTAGTGCTGGTAATTGAATCCAGGGGTACTCTCCCACTGAGCTACATCCCTGGCCCTTTTCATTTTTTTATTTTGAGACAAGATATTTCAAAGTTGCCCAGGCTGGCCTGGAACTCATGATCCTCCTGCCTCAGCCTCGAATACATGAGATTACAGATGTGTGCCACCTGGCTTAAAACCGATTTTTTTCTAAGAAGTTTTTATTTTGAAAATTATCCAAAATACAGAGAAGTTGGAAGAATAGGAGATTAAACACCCACATATCCTCTGTCTATATTCAGTCATTGGTTAGATGATTAACAGATTCGTTAAAGCACTTTTTCTGATCTTTTGCTTAAAGAATTGTCATCTGTATTCTTTGTCTACCTCTATGTGTAGGGGTTTTAACATTTTTTATTTTAATAGACTTTTGTGGCATTAATTTTAGGTCACAGGCAAATTTGAGTGGAAAGTGCAGGCAGTTTCCATACACCCCTGCCCTGCTCCAGCCTCCCCACTAACCAGCAGCTCTGCCCAGTAGTGTGCTTGTGTAATTGGGAGCCTACACAAACACATTTTTACCACCTGAAGCCCGCAGTTCACACTGGGGTCCAGTCTTGTTGCTGAACAGTGCGTGGGTTTGAACAATGTGTGATGACTTGTAACACACTACAGTATCACACAGAGTAGTTTCACTGCCTAGAAACCTTCTGTGCTCCGCCTGTGCCTTCCTCCTGGAAGCCCTGACAGCCCTGATCTCCTACTGTCTCTGTAGTTTTGTTTTGTTTTTTCCATTAAGATTATTGGTCCATTTAGGTATACAGTACAGTTATAACTCATCACTGGGAACTTGCACCTTTACCTGATGGATCTTGGTTCTTATTTTTTTCCCCTTCCCCTGCCCTCCCTTCCACTCCACCCTTCCCTATTTATAAAGACTTTTTCCCATTTTTTCCTTTTTTCATATTTTTTCTTTTCCCTTCTTTCCTTTCCCCTATACCTCCGACTTCCCCTACCCCATAAGACCTTTTCTTCCTATTTCACAATATCAATTATACATTTTGATCCTTATCTACACTTGTTCACACCAGAGAAACCAGTATTTACACGTGTGTACTATTTATTTCACTTAAGAGGATGGCCTCAATGTGCATCCACTTAGCTATAAATGTCTCTAGTTTCTTGTTCATTATGTCTGAGTAGTACTCCATTTTATTAAAAAAAAACCCCACATCTTCTTTATCCAGTCTCCAGTTGATGGGCACTTGGGCTGTTTCCAAGGTTTAGCTGTTACAAACTGTGCCGCTATAAACATGGGTGCACATACATCACTGTGGTATGATTCTTTTAATTCTTTTGGGAAGATAACCAGCAGGGGAATAGCTGGGTCAAATGGGACCTCTAGCCCTAGTTCTTTGAGGAATCTCCATACTGATTTACACAGTGGTTGCACCAGTCCACACTCCCACCAACAATGGAGCAGGGTTCCTTTCTTCCCAAAGCCCCGCCAGCATTTTTTATTGGTTGATTTCATGATAGCAGCCATTCTTTCTGGGGTGAGGTGGAATCTCTGTGTTGTTTTCATCTGCATCTCTTGAATGACCAGTGATCGTGAACATTTTTTCATATGTTTATTTGCTGCTTTTACTTCTTTGAGAAATGTCTGTTCATTTCAGATGCCCATTTTTGAATTGGGTTTTTGAATTTAGGGGATCTGATTATTTTCAGCTCTTTATGTATTCTAGATAGTAGTCATTTGTCTAAGGTACAGCTGCTGGAGATTTTTTCCCACATTGTAGGTTGTCTCTTAGCTCTGTTGGTGGTTTCTCTTGCAGTGCAGAAGCTTTTTAATAAGATGAGATCCCAGTTGTTGATTCTTTGTGCTAGTTCCCGTGCTACTGAGGTTTTGTTCATGAAGTCTTTTCCTTTGCCAATGTCATTGAGAGTTCTACCTAACTTATCTTCCAGCAGGCTTAGTGTTTATGTTTATATTTAGATCTTTAATCCGCTTTGATTTTAGTTTACTGCATGGTGAAAGGGGTCTAGTTTTAATCTTTGGCAAGTTGAAATCCAGTTTTTCCAACACCATTTATTAAAGAGGCTATCTTTCCTCCAGTGAGGATGGTTGGAGGTTGTTTTCTTTTAGGGTTTGAAATACCTCACACCAGGCTCTCCTTGATTTGAGGGTTTATGTTGAAAAGTCTGTTGTGATTCTGATGGGCTTTCATTTGCATGTGATTTGTTTCTTTTCTCTAACTGCTTGTAGTATTTCGTTCTTCTGTTGGATTTCTGGGATCTTGATTATTATATGTCTAGGTGTAGATTTTTTTTGGATCGTGGCTAGTTAAGAGTCCTATATGCCTCACTTATCTGTATGTCAAATTCTTTTGCTCTGTTTGGGAATTTTTCTGTCATTAATTCTGTGAACAGTTTTTTTTATGTCATTTGTACTTTCTCCTGCTTTTTTATGGACTCCTATCAGTCTTATATTACTCTTCTTTGCATCATCTAGGAGCCGTTGGATTAATTTTTCAAGGTCCGTTACTAGTTATAAGAGATATTTTTTCATGGTCACTAACCACCATCCTGTCTTCTATATCTGATAGTCTGTCTTCAGATTGGCTCAGGCTGCTGTGCATACTTTCAATAGAGTTTTTAATCTCCTGGATTTCTGTTTGAATCTGTTTCATGGATTCCATTTCTTTCCTATGTTGTGTGTTTATGATTTCCATTTCTTTCCTATGCTGGGCAGTCATGGCTTCCATCATGGTCCTGAATGCATCTATTTTTTTTTTATCTGTTTCTGTTCTAGAGTCTCTAATCATGTCTTTCATTCTGCTCACCATCTCTGTAGTTATCTGGGAAATTATTTCTGTTTTGAATTTTTCTAGAGCCTCGTTCATCTGTTTTATTACTTCCTGTGCTATCAGCTTAGGGTGTCCAGGTAGTTAATTATCAGACTTTTGCACCTTGTTTCCCCCAGAGTTTGTCTTTGGTGAGCTGGAAGTCTGGGATTGTGCCTTACTTAAATGTCTTCTCATTTCTATTTTTGTTGTTGGTACTGACCTTGGGTTAGTTCCTGGGTTGATATTTCAAAATTACTTATTACAGGTATCTTTGTTGCTTGTACTTAGAACCCTTATGGAATGATTGCTTTTCAGAGGTATCTTTCAGATATAGCTGGTCTTAAGGTTTTGAGTCTCTAATGACTCTGGGGCAATCCCATTTTCATTACACCTGAAGGATAACTGATTAGATCAATCACAACACCTTAGCCCAGGTGGTACAATCAGCAATAGCAACAGTATAGAGTACAGCTTAGAAAATGACAGTTTGTAGTAGTTATTAATCTATCACCTTTAACCATGTGAATTAAATCAAAATCAAGGACCAGCCCAACATATGTTTATAGTGAATAAACTCTTCAATATAGCAACTTTACCCTTTGGGATAGGGACTTAAAAGAAGTTGGGAAGGGAGGGATAGGCAGAAGGATAGGAAAGGTTAGAAGTGAGGCCAGAGGACACAGAAAGATCACACAAACTCTAAGGAACTGTTGAAGACAAGAGGAAAAGAATGAGAGAACAAAGATAATAACAGAACAACCTATCAGCAATAGGGAAGCTAGAAACTATTCACTTTCCTTTGAAGCTAATGACAGGAGAAGGAAAAAGAGAAAGAAAAAGAAAA